AAATATTGTTAAAAATCACGGATTTTCTGGCTATTGGCAACCGAATAGACATGTAACAGGTTAGATGAAATACACAAATTGACACATTCCAATTATAAATGAAAATATGAGCACATATCTGTTCTGCAATCAAATAAAAGTCTCTCTTCTAACTCACACTGACATTGCCGCTGAGGGCTGACATTCTCTATATTGTGGTTCGAGTCAAATTTGGTTGCTGATCATACTGTTAATTGTGACTGGTGTTTTGACCAATCTTCCTCTACGCAATTGCACATTGTTCGAAAGTACAATCAACTACTGATGAGAGTAGTTAGATGCTTGTGCTATCCATGATTTTATAACTGCTCTGTTGTTGTCTCTTGCTTATTAATTAATTGTTTTATTTATTCTATTTGCTAATTTGTCGGCTGACTGAAATTCACTGAGAAACTCGAGTCTCATCTCCATTCAGGACCTCGAAAACCCAGCGAATTGCATTATCCAGTCTGTTCTCATTTCAGACTTTTCCATCCGTTACACTGTTACCTCTCCAATTTAACATTTCTTTACATAACCTTCGGGTATGTTGGATAAATCTCTATTATTACACATTCATCTCGTCAATTTCTTTAATTAACATTCATTTTGTTGATGTAATGAGGATAACGAAATAAATGCTGCATGCATGTAATGTCGAGTGAACATGTTTGCCTCATATCTACGTTAATACAGATTAAGAGAGAGGCAACCAATTTTGGTTTCCTACATGAATATTGGTGCAAAAGACATATATCACTTATGCTAATGTGTCTTCTTCCCATCGCAGCTATATCCATCTTCTTGTCAGGCTCAGGTACATATAATTTGTGCCATTTGTCATCTACTTGGCTGCTTATAGAGTATCCAGTTGCTTATATCCTTTTTTTCTTCCTCATTATGATCCTCTCCTTTCCCCTTATCTCTTCCCTATGCTATCTCGTTTTCACATGCAACGAACCAATTTCATCCATGCACATCCCTTTTCACTTTTCGTCAATTAACTCATCTTTTGCGCCTGACATTGAACCCACATTGGATAAAACATATACCTCAATATTTATGCTGGTTTCCAGAGAAAAACATCTCACCTTTCGTTTTCCTCCACAGATAAACTTGCATACCTGAATACCAAACAGCGCAGGTACGTTTCACCTTCATTCTCGTTACTTTGACAACCGCCATCCAGCCCCAGGCTACACAAGATGAACGGCTGCTTTAGTACCAATGTAGCCACCGCTTGCCTGGATCCATCCTCTACCGACCTGGTTGAGTGCATCCGCGTTGGAATTCTGCACAACCCTCTCGGCCGGTTCCTCACCGCTGAATCGTTCAACAATGAGATCAACGTATCCTGCACGGTATTACGTAAACGGCAGATCTGGAGCATGCAAATCCATCCGAGTAGGCCGGGCGCAGTCTATTTGCTGAACTATTTGGACCGATATCTGTCAGCCGATAACGATGGGCGCATCTATACCTCGCGAACTCCATGTACGTCGTGGTTCCCTACCTCTTACGACTTGATTTTTTCCAATTAATTGTGCATCTCGCCGCTTTTGAGGATAACTATGATTTTGCTAATAGAAACTTCCTTTAAACTATTAGGCGCTAAAAATAATGAAGTAATGATTTTATAAAATGTCACTTGTTTGAGCAACAATACATAGTCACAACTTACCATTTTGTATGCCTCCAAAGCCATTCAGGACTAAGTGCCGTATTATGATCTTCCAATCCGGCGACTTTTTTAACCTCGAGAAAATTATGGAACTTCTAAGACAGATGGCACTCGTCGTTGATAATATTTAGAGCTGGCTGTGAATGAGGGAGGGTAGTATCACCTTAATTGAACTTTGATCTCTATTCTATGCCAGCTTTGGTATTTGTGCCAGATGATGCCCCTCTTACTGACTAACATTGCATGCTGTTCTTTACAAGACTCGTAGCTTCTGTCCAATCGTTGACGTTCTGGTTTGGTGTTGGCGATCTTTCTGTTTTCCACCATCCTCGTAATGTGCTATCATACCAGCAGCCTGGTCTTACCTTAAATGTTCGCAATTGTTCAACTTTGCTGCACAATGACCTTTTACGCGTTACATCATCGTATGTGCTGTCTGATGGTTTGCCAAAAAATCCGCCGTGTTTGGTCGATGTGTGAGGAAATGTGGGCAGAACAGCGATTCACTGTGTTCTTTCAGGTCGTTTCACCCGCCTTTAAGTTTATAGATTGGAAACCGCTTCATATGCTTGGATGCATAGAAGGTATGTTGATTGCTTTGCCGTAAACAGTGCATGCTTCTCGATTTAAAGTTCGCATCGTTCATTAGGCAATACATATCGTTCACGGGCTCAGAAGATACTTCGTCCAAAGGTTCATCTTTGATGGCAAGCTATTTACATGAGATGAGATGAAGGACTAGCAGTAGAATTCTCCCACAGTGATATGAGTAGAGCTGACGTTTCCATTTTATTTCACAGTGCCTTGCTTTCCCCAAAATTGTTCTCATCCAGGGTGGACTGCAGTCTTGACCTCACCTAGGTCTTATATATATATATATATAATATATGAAAAAAAGTTATTTACAAATAATTTCCACATGTTTGAGGGGGCAAGGCCAGTTAAAACAAGCCTTATTCACTAAGATTTTTCAGCCCTCTACTATTCACTTTGCCGCATTCACACTATTTTCAGATGCAACAATTGTTGGCTAGAGTAAACGTTTTCTCAGGCATAATTATGAGCAAATAAATAAATTCATTTATAGGTAGTTGGAGTTTTGGGTAGAATGTTGCATATGGCCGATGATTTGAAAAAGTTTCCAGTAAAGCATAACTTTGTGCCGATTATTAGTGTTCTCTTAATTGCAGTTGAGTAGGCGACCCGTGCTTTTTCCGCGGATGCTATTTCGCTCACATTTGCTCCGATCTGTCCTCCTATTGCTTCCTCATTTCTTTTACATGGTTGACTGGGGGAGATTTCTGTATTGGATTTGAGGTTGTATTGCCGTTATGTTCGCCGATTTGGACGAGCTTTCTTCGGACTTTGATGAATCCTTGCCGAGCTTTACTCCATCGTGTCATAAATTGTGAGAACGGGAGGTAATTTTTCATTTTTTTTTCTTTATGCATGCTTTGAAAGGCCCTTGCTTTGCTCCCTTTGCGTGTATGTGAATAGGTTAGGGTCATCAGGATATCAGTGAACTGGTTTTATACTTCAACACTTAGGGTCCCCTCCTGTTGTTATGCCATCTTGGACGGCAGAAAACCCTAATCAAATAATCAAACTGACGCACGGAGACAAGTGATGCCCACCAGTTGGCACCTGATTGAGGCTTCTTTTTGCCGCCATTTTCTCACCATCTTGATTTCTTGCTTCAGCCAACGCCAATATGTACTTCTGGTCGCCCTAACACTGACGGCGCAGCTTTGTAATTGTGACATAAGTTATGCAGGTTAGTGTGTCCATATGCACTTTCATAATCTACTTGACACACATGTGCTTAGCGCTAGAATTCGTGTGACCTAACTTTACACATATAAATAATCGGGCAAGGCATTTCTGTATCATTCTTCA